GCCCACCCCAGCATGGGTGATGATTCATGAGAGCTTTCCTGGAGCTCCCTGCTCACCTTGTAGTCACTCTACAAGAGAGTGTCCTGTCCCCCAAGCCACGACTTATGATCCAGCCCCGGGGAAAGGTCCTGTGGATCTCTTGTGACTCTCTGAGCTTCCAGAACCATGTCTTTACATGTTCGCTCAGCTTCTGGAGTCTTACATGCCTTTCTCCTCCCCACAGACGGCAGCATTTCAACGTGGAGGAAACAGCAAAGCAACAGCCTACCAGACAGATTGTATTGTATTTATTTTTTAATTTTTGAGGCTCCTCCCTACTGCTTTTCACAATGGCTGCGCTAATTTACATTCCCAATGGCGGTGTGTGAGAGGCAAAGTTACATTCTAAGTTTTAATTATTATGCCTAAGAGATCCATGAAACAACAACAAAAAGCCTCTGATCTGCAAGCCCCTCGCCCAAGGACAGAGAGTTTCTCAAATGCTAGAGGTTATTGTTTATGAGAGATAACAAGTCACATGTTTCCACACCTTTAAACTAGTATGTTTGACCCATCTGCACCAAATGTGCTTGATCACATGTGGGCAGGAGCGTCACAGACAGGAAATACAGCAGGATGCATGCTTGCCCCTGATTGGATGTAGACTGAAGGTACATCAGGATGTATGCTTGCCCCTGATTGGACCTAATGGGAAATACTTAAGCTGCTTCAAAACTTGATTCAGCTCCATCTTCTGGAAACCCAGAGATGGACCCAGCCAGAGTCCATCCACCTGGCCAGTATTTAATTAAAGCCTACTTCAAATTTGGCTTTGAATTATGATAGAGGTCTTACACTCAATTGGTAGGATTAACAGGTGCCCATAGGTTCCCTGGGTTCCACGTCCTCATCACCATTTTTCTTTGGCGATTTTGATAAAATCTATTCTGAAGTGTGTCGGAACGACTGACATTTTCAGAAGGAAAAGGAAAGGGGGCACATGACAACAACTGTGAGGAGCGACCGGCCCTTCTCCTGCACAAACGAGAGCATGGTTTCCAACAAATTTGTCTGAGGTCAGACAGACAGTAAGCAAGAAGGCAATCGGACTCAAATGGGTTTGAGCCAGGAAATTGAACCCAATTTCCACTGCAAACTGTTATAGAAAAATGAATCTTCCTCATACTAGTTAGGAAAACAAAAAATTAGGATGATAATTTTTAATAATGCTGATTTCAAAGATTTTCTCTATTTTTCTCTTTAAGTATTCCCCCCTCTATGGTTAGTCTACAAACTACCATAATTCTTGCTCCGGCTCATTTTATCTCCTAAGTGATAAAGTGCCTATCAGACTTAATCAACAGCAGTTTGAGATGGGGCCTGGAACTCCGCATTTCTAACCAGTGCCCAACGGATAGAAATACTGCTGGTACCCAGACCACAGTGAGCAAAACCACCTCTGTACACGTCACATTTTGCACATAGAAGGTGCTGGGTCTCTTGTAAAAGACAATTGAAAACTAAAAGGCAGAAGCAAAATAGAGATCAAGGCTATGGTGGCTTTCTGTTGTTGTGACAAATACCTCAAAACAGGCAACCGTAGGGGGAAAGGGGGCTATTCAACTTGAAATCCCAGGTCACATCCCTGCAGGGAAGTCGAGGCAGGAACTTAAATTGGCCCCATCCACATCTGGAGTAGAGAAAAAATGAATGTATGCCTGGATACTCTGCTAGCTTACTTTTTCTACTCTCATACAGTCCAGAACCCAGTCCCAGGGAATGACATGATGCACAGTGGGCTGGGTCTTCCCACAGCAATGGACACAATCCAGACTATCCTCCCATAGATTTATCCAGAGGGCAGCCTGATTTAGACAGTCCCTCACCAAGATTCTCTGCACAGG